TTCTTATAAAAAAAAAAAAAAAAAGAAAAGAAAGCGATTTACAATGATTTTGAAGAGGAAATCTATTGTTCCTCTGATCGAAGGATTCCTCTGATTCCCCGAGGACTGGTAAGAAATCCGACTAATTCTCGAATCCGCGACAACACGGAAGAAAACAGATGGGATGAGAAAGAGCTGACCCATTTGGCGGTAGAATAGCCGAAGGGAGTTGGAAAAGAGGCAGCGAGTAGAAATAGGCGAGAAAAAAGGGCAAACCCGTGTGTACGGAACACGCGGGTATCTTTTGTCGCCGATCCTGGCCACCGGCGTCCCGGCATAATTAAAATTCTACAGACTCGCCCCGGAAGTTTGGACCACCTCCAAAATCCTCGAACCAAGTTACTCATGGATCGATCCAAATCTTCTGTCTTTGACATCGCTGAATGAAGAGAGCTGCGATCGACGATGGGAAAGTTAAGTGTACCAAAGAAAATCAAGGAGAAATTGTTTGGCCAAGCTTACGTAGAATGAGAATGATTGATCGATCGACGTGATATTGACGGCCTTGAGTTTTTTGAATGATGATTCATGATATTTTGTGATGGAAAACTTGATAGTTACAGCAATGGTAGTTTGCAATTTTTTTTATTTTCTTCAAGTTTTAGATGGTTTTTGTAATTGTTCTAATTAATTTGTTAGAATGATTAATTACAGGAAGTATTAGAAATATAGATGAGTAATAGAATAGTAATAGAATTATAAATGATTTGCAATTGTTTGAATTTAATATTTTTATTGCAGATTGATTTAATCATTGGGTTAATTTAATCATGATGAGCGAAATTTTTCAATTCAATCGTTTCTGTTCGGATCATATTGAAAATAATGATCATATTGCTATATGAGAAATTGGATATTCCGTTGGAAATTGAGAAATACTTTCGAATGTATCGTGACACGATATTAAGAGAAAGGTAGATTTTATAGAACGAATAGGAGACCAAATGCTAAGCCAGTAATTGGTTAAATATTTTATTTGAGGAATCTTGGGAGAGAGGATTCCCAGAAATTGGCCGCTTCGAGCAAATATTGAAATAGGCTTCGTAAATGGTTCTGCTCGTTTAAAAGGAAACGTGGTGATGCAACACGTACAACTTTCCATCTGATCCCAGGTGAACTGTCCTTGCGTGTAACGTTTTTACTAGCGACTTAGTGATTGTGGCTACTTGTTGTAAATCGATACCAAAACGACATTTTTTTTTTTTTAGATTTCATGTCGCAGAGAAAAAAATCAGAAGAAAAAGAAATTATAAAGATTACAAATATACGATCCAGGATTTAAGAATCTTTCGAAAGGAGAATAACAAATTTTAATTTTTACGTTAAATAAACGAATTAAGAAATAAAGCAAATTGATATAGGAATTAAAGAATAAAATTAAACAGAGTTAAGTTCTAGTCGTGAGTCTTCATAAAAATTTCAATTTACATTAAAATCAATATTCTATCACTGATATTTTTATATTTCTAACATTTTCTTCTTCTTTTTTTTTTTCCTGTTTAAGATACTCGTGTTAGCTTGTCCCTGGAAAAACGCGACGAAAGAGATTGTCGTAGCTGCTGATCACACAGTTTCTCGGTTACATTGGCGTAACCGGTTCTCCAAGACTCCTCGTCGAGTCTCTTTGTATCGGGCGAGGCCTGGATTCGTGCCGTTCAAGCGATTTTTATTAAACGACGTTGGTTGAGAGAGTAGACATTGTTTGTCGCGAATTGCGCCTCTTGTAGTGAGAGCTAACCCCTGCCACAGTATGATCCGCCCCCTTTCTTCCCTTGTAATTGCTGACTGGTAAATTGCTTCGAAGAAAAATTAATTTGCGTTACACGTAATTGTGATGGAACACTTAATCATTAATTTAAATGTTAAAATATTTATAGAATTTTATCTATATTCGAATCAAAAATTCCAGAATCGTGAATGTTCTTCGATTTAAGGATAAAAATATTCTAAAACTCTTTAAATCGAAGTTTCAAACGCAAAATTTTCTTCAAAATTATATTTATAGTAGAGATAGAAGCTTTTTTAGAACCCCCGATCACTTTTCACCTTATCGAACGGAGAACTAGACATCTTTGCCACCCACAATCTGTTCCTTCCCACTCAACCCTCATAATTCATTCTAAAATCGCTCGTTCAGCACCCATATCCCCTTTTCGCAATCTCTTTCTCAGTGTTCCGCACGTGGAGAGCGCGATTGCCCAATTTTCCTCAATTTTCCCCAAAGCAACTTCGAAATCAGCCCAGTCAGGGAAGCGTGCACGACCCCGCCAAGCTTTTATATTTGCTTAACATTAGATTACGCTCCTCGAGGGTATGTAGGTCGTCTCGTTTGTTCCCAGTTTCAGGAATTTACGATTAAGTCCCGCAGAATTGAATTTTCCAAGCTTGGAATAACTGCGTGCCGCCATTTTGCGAGAATTTCGAGTTGAACGCGATCTCTGTTCCGTGATTGGTCGATGATTTATTCAGTCGTTTCTGGTATCCGTGTGAAGTTGGTAACAGTATTTTTGACGTTCTTATATTTGTTGTATAAGTTTTGTGCAATAAATTACACATTTGGGTCTATAAATTTTGATAACATATTTTTTTTTATACGATACATATTTTTTGATATGTGTTCCTTTTCATATGTTTATATAAATGTTTTTGTACAAATGTCTTAAATTACTATTTGTTTCTATATATGGTGTTTTTTTTAAAGAGACCCAGATGTATAATTAATCGATAGTTTTATGTAAAATGATTCTTGGCAAAAAACAAAAAAAATGTTTTAGAATCTTTCCTTAACAAATTTAAATTTGTTCGAACAAATTATCGCGAAAAAATTGTATCTAATCAAATAACGAAATTACGATGAAATTAATCAAGAATCATTTTTGTTACGAACTTTTCAATTACATTAATATTATACAACAATATAACAATATTAACAATATTATATTATATATTATATTATATTAACAATAACATTAATATTATACATTTTCAGATCTCTCTCAACTACGACAATCAAATAACCAGACTACATGCCATCAAGTACTACATTCTTCAAATTCAATGCAAATGGAATCGAATCGGAGAAATTCTCTTATTATTTCGAAAAACTCATGAATGGAAAGTAAGACTTAATCGTGCAGCTTTTCGCACGCCTCCAAACCGAGTTCTCGAGCAGCTGACGCGATAATTTATCGGGCCGTTTAACTTTCGAGTTTCGTTCGCGTGAAACACGAAGGGGGAGGGAGAGGAAGAAAAAAACTCGATACAGGAAACCAGTTTCGAACAGACCGCGATTTCAATAGATTCTACGACTCTCTAAACACCGATTCCTTCTCGATTTACTTACTCCAACCCAGATCGAATTTTATCTCGTATTCTCACTCTGCAACACCTCTGAAATTCACTCTGCGTAATGGGTATAAAAAAAAAAAAAAGAAGAAGAAAAAATAAGGAAATAAAAAGGGGAGAGATAGAATGATGGAAAAGAAGAAACGGAAGAGAGAGACTTACGCTCCTTACACACAGGCGGAGAAAACGTGGCGCGTAAATAGAGCGAATAAAGGAGGTCGAGTTGAAATGGGGTTGAAAATTTGTAAAGAAGGGGAAAGGGTTTTTTTTTACGAGTTAATGAAGGGAAGCCAAGGCAAGAAGGTTGAAAGTTAATTAAGAACAGCCTGGAAGGAATGATTATTTTTCTTTTTTTTTTTTTTTTTCTCTCTCCTTTCTTTGATGATCGTGCTTCGTTCCGTACAATGAAAATTTGTTGCATTTCATTAAAGATTTTTTTTGTAAATTGTGTTCTTGTAAATGTAAAAGCTGAATTATTTGAAAAAAACATAAGGATGATTTGATCATTAACATTTACATATATGTGGATTATTTTAGATTGGATTCATAATTTTAATAATAAAAATTGTAGTGGAAGTACAATTTGAAATAAAACTAAATTGGATGAATTAAAAGATATTTATATTTGTGTACAATGATATGAAATGTTTCAATTAAAATATTCAAAATATGAATATAGAAGGGTTGAATTCGTTGCAATTGAGTATAGTTTCAATGAAAGGGAAGCTTGTAACGATCGATTCCGAATTCATTAAATTATTTCTTCGTTACGTATTTATTAACCATCGTGCCCATTTTCAGCGATGAATTACGATAGTTGGTATACATGCATCGATTATAGGGAAATTTTGAATTGGATGAAGAGCAACGTTGATATTAACGACAGTGATTGCTGCATTTTCTATAAAATTCCATCCAACGTACAATTGTTTCAATAAATAATTCTTTCATATATTTTTTAATTTTTCAAGAATATAAATAATATTGTGATTGATAGGCAAAAAATATTCGATATGAAAAAAGAAATAAAGAAAAGATAAAAATAGAAAAACAATGATTTCGTATACCGTTAATCTTTTCAAAGATTTTTAAGTAGTGGTATAAATAATATTATAATCGATGTGCAAAAGACATGGAAAGAAGATAAAAGTGATTCCGTAAACCATAATCGTTTGAAAAAATGAAAAATCGTGAAACCGTTCGCAGAATCTTCGATTTTCCTAAGGATATCGAGCGAAAGAACGATTTAACCAATTCTAGAAATATTATTTGTTGAGACTATGGGAATCATTAGCGAGCAATTTATCGTGTCGTCGTAGGGAAATCGAGCGTCCAAACACGGGGAATCGATATTCCATTACGGAGGATCGGTGGTTCGCCAGAGAGAAGCACGATAAGAGGGCAACTATGGCGAACGGGGATACCGCTTTCAAGATGGAAGATAGAAACGTCTGGGAAATGAAACTTGGTTACTGAAAAGGTATCTATCTCGCTGCTTTCCGAGTTAATTTCGTTGTGCTCTCGTTTTTCGTGATAATTTTTCCATGATCGAGCCTGATGTGTAAAAGTAAATTTCTGATAACTTTGCCAATAATTAATAAGTTAATTTTGATTCATTAATCTAAATTTGTTTAATTTTACAGAATTAAAGACGAAAGAAGAAATCTGGTAAATTCATAGTCGAAACACAATATATATAATATATAAATATATACATAAATATATACACAATATATGAACTTTTTTTAGTAATAATTCAGTTCATTTTTTCTGCAGCATAAAATTTGAAATCTATCAGGATGGAATCATAAATGATTTATAAATTCATATAAATATTAATAAATTTATAGCTGAACATAACATGGGTAAGTAAAATTTTTCTAGTAATTTCTAGTAATTTAGCTATTAATTAATAATAATTAGTTATTTTCATTAACTTAAATTTTTTTAGTTTCAGAATCATAATAAATTGTTTTTGAGATTCAATCAATTGAATTCTCAATCGAAAATGCTCTTGATAATATAATTTAAAACTTAATTACACCACTTGAAATGGTACCACTTGAAAATTGTTCAACGAGTATTAAGAATATTCATTTTATAATTATTTTCATCGTTCAAATTTAGTTTTCACCATTTCTCTTAAATTATTCGAGAAACAATAGATGTAATAAGATATTAAAGGCAATCACCCTCATCACGAACATGAATTAATAATTATTATCTAACAAGGATACTCGTAAACGGATACCTTTCTTTGTCATTAATTATCTGCTCGTTAATGATCAATTACGAGCGTATCGTATTTTTCGTTGACAATAAAGCAAGATCGAAAAACGATGAAAAAGAAAGAAAATCATTTCTGGAAATCGAGACAGTCTCTACTAATCCCACGATAAATCCATTGATCAAATCGGTGGATATGAATACTCGCTCTTATTATTCGCCATTAATCGGCTGGTAATTAGCGATTGTTAATTGAGGTGTTTTTCCTCGACACGCAAATAAAAGCTGAGTCAAAAATGAAGTTAAAAAAGAAATGATAAAAATGAATTTCATGGAAATTAATCTTTTTATCAATGATTGATGGTGGGATTGATAATAAATGAAAATTTACATTAGAACATTGAATGTGTATTTTTTTTTTTAATTGAAAGTGATATTTGAACATAATTAGAGAAATTATAATAATTATATCAAATAGATGGAATATATATGCATGATAATTCAATCAAATATTTAGACCAAAACTAATTTTTAACAAGGAATAATTTAAGAGAGTAACAATGGATTATATAAATAAAAATTGTGATCCAGATTCTACTTTAATAACTTACTCTCGTAGACTCTTGAAGAATGCATGGATAACATTTTATGATTAATTTAAAATCCACCTAAAATTAATCTTTTTCAAAAGTAATAATTTAACAGAATAATGTTGCATTATGTAAACCGAGATTGTGATTCAGATTCTACAGTATCCTTTCTAGTAGAATTTAAAGCGAATTCATGGATTTTCGAGCTGGTAGTCTACAATGAATTTACCTTCCCTAGCGAACGAATATTTAGAAGGCGGGTCACAGAGAAGAACAACACGGAATAGAGACACGATGCTCGTTGGAAATACTGAATAGTCTTTCCACGGTCGTCGAATAAGTCAACGTTTAACTCTTGTTATTTGGAAAGACATTTATACTTAGCAGTATCTCTTCCAATTTCATTTTAGATGCTCTTGTTTTACTTCACAAAATTAGTTTGACAAGTATCTTATTAAAATAAATTCTTTAAAACAAATTTAATTTAATTTCCGCTTTTTAAAATGGATTCACTATATTAAATCAATATATTTATTTTAGATATATTTACAAGAAAGATCCAAAAATATTTCCTGTTCTCAAATTTTCTAAAAATTACACTTTTTCATCCCTAAATTTTCATAATTTCTCTTAACATTTCAACTTCAATAAAATTTTTTTCTAGAATTTTTAGAACTTACAATTGTTAAAATTTAGATACTCTGTATTCTAGAATTGTATGCTTCTTTTTCCAAGAATCATACAAATATTTCAATTCAAAAATTTTCCTTTTCTAAAAATCATCATTCTTTTATTTTTCAAGCTTTCACAAGTTTCTTTACTCCAATATCTCTATTTCTACAATTTCTAGAACTCACATTACAGACTTTATTCTAAGATATTTAATTCTTCCAGGAACGTCTTACGATTTCATCCCTTCCATCTCACGTTCTCTTGCCAAAGTCAAAAAATCGTCTCGTCCAAGAACAACAGAACGCATCATTATTACACTGAGTGGAAGGACGAAAGGCGCACGCGTGGTGATCGGCGTGCCTATGTGCACGAGTACACAAATAGCTCATTATGAACGAAGCCCGTACTTGGACCCGTCGCGCGCACTACGTAATTGGGGTTAATGATCGTGTGTACACCAGTGCCTCTCCTACTTGTACGCGAACCACCACTCGACAACTTGGCCCGGACCAAGCATTCCACTCTCTGGCCATTAGCAAGTGTAATGCCGGCCGTGGTAACACCTCGTTTCTTTGCCCATTTCCCTCATACTTCTACATTTTTTTTGGCCTCATCTTGACCGTTCAGGTTCTGCTCCAGGAAATTTTCTTTTTTAGCTTCCTTTTCTTTTTTTCTTTCTTGTAAAAGTGGAGAAATGGAAAAAGCTTTTGACATTTTAATGAGAGATTGAGGGATGGATTATTTGGAGAAAGAGATATTGAAATACTTTACAATTAGAAATGTGGTGGTAACCGATAATTGTAATTTTCTTTTTTTCTTTCTTGTGAAAGTGAAGAAATAGAAATGGATGGATTTTGATATTTTAATAAGAGATTAAGGAATGGATAATTTAGAGAAAGAGATTAGAGCGATTAGAAATGCGGTAGTACTCAATTAACTATCGTGAAACGTGTTAATTATCTGAGGAAATGCATGCCAAATTTTTGAATATAATATAATCAAATTATCATAATTAAAATTTAAAGAGAAAAATACAATAATCCAGATAACTGCTGCATACAGATTAAATTTCTATATGTAACAAATTTCTGAAAATAGTTTTAAAATAAATAAAGTGAACTTTTATAATATATATCTAAATAATAACTATTCTAGAATATGATAGAAATTCAAAATCTTTGACAGATACTATATTATATATGTATATATGTATTAAATATATATACTAATATATATAATAAAACAATATATCTACACAAGAAAAATTCATGGAATAAAATCTTGTCAATCCTTGGAATTGTGATGTTCGACTGTATCGATACTCACAAGTATATATCGAGGCTTAACGAGAATGCATGACCGAGGACAACCGATCGAGGGAATGTCTCTATCGATAATGTCTTGATCGGAGAGACCGGTTTTCTTTGCCAAGGTTCTTTGCCTACCTTCGAGATTATCGGTTAACTGTACTTGTCCCGTTAGTTCACCGTGATAACGGGAGATCGCAAAAGTGCTCGGTTCTAAGCGAAGAAGTAAGATTGATTGGAACTTACTTAGTCTTAATGGATCTAATTTTCAGCAAAGAATATTGGATCTACTCACCTGCAACAGAAAATAAAAGATATTCTTTATTAGATGGAAAATTTAAAGAGATGTAAAGATGTATATTAGTAAGATC